GCAGAGCACGTGGGTAATTGTTGCCTCTCAGCTCTGGCTCCACTGCAGGGCTCTGAGCAAACGTGCAACATCTCTATTTAAGCTCCCCAAGCAGCAGGAATCCATCCCTTCCCAACGCTTTCTGGATGTTTTCAGTCCTTTCACAACCCAATAATGAATTCATTAAATTAGTATTACCCAACGTGCATAATCTGGAGGAAGTGGATCCTGAATTAAAACATCAAATACCTTTAGCTTTAAATGAAAACTACATAAAAGCATTTCAGGCATCACTTTGGCTATCACTTACAGCCAGTATGAATACTGCTAGAAAAGCTATTTTCGTGCAGATGTGGAATTCAATGGGAAAGACTGACTCGTGTAGCAACATCAATCAAAACGTCGGCTCTGCTGGCAGCTCTCGACAGTAAGGCAGGTTCAAAGGTCACAGGATAAAGAAAAAGCCAAGCTCTGGTTCAGCTCTAATATCTCCTCGCTAGAAGTCTTGCAAAGGTACCTACCCCCCTTCTGTACTAGGCGGCTTTCATTAATCTTCTTGCCATCTTTTTTAACTAGTCATGCAGAACCGCTCGATAGCGAGACATATAATGGGGAGGCCCTGTGCCTATTACCAGGTTAACACTCTGTTAAGCCCCAGTGCAACAATGGAATAAGAATTTAAAGGAAATCTTAAGCTGCAGGGTGCAAAGCAGGCAATTAAATTACAACCCGAAGTTACCAGTGTACTCCGTGACCTACAGAACACCTTTGTTTAGACTACCTTAACATTAAGGATATTTTGACCTAGCAACTGAGATGTATCTGCTTTGTTAAAACAAACAAACAAAAAAGCAGAAGAAGAATCACAGAGAAGGTTTCTTCTGTGTTTTAAGTAAATTATCAAAGAAATCCCATTTCTGCAGCTCTGGGAAACACACATGAAGGAAGAGCCCCCCGCGTTTTGAAAGCTGCGGGTCTGCCCAAGCCATCAGCCTCGGCGGCGCTGAGAAGCCCACCCCGAGTCCTGCTCCCCCCAGTCCCGCTCCCCCCAGTCCCGCTCCCCACAAGGTCTGTTCCCCCCAGTCCCGCTCCCCCCCGCAGCAGGGACGGCCACGGCGCGCCTGGCGCAGCCACACTTGGTACAGAGGCAGCGGCCAGTGACACTGAAGTTTCTCCCCTGTCCAAGTAATGTAAGAGACATTACCAGAATCAGATTTCCTTTAAATTACACTATTGCAAAGGGACATAATTGTATTAAACATATTATGTTGCTTCCTTAAGACTTTATATTATGTACACTTAATTGAGATACAAAGCTCTTTTCAGCTATAAAAATGACAACTACTTTATTAAGGCTTAAATCTTATTTCTCAATGATAGGATGCTTCCTTTCAAGATTCAAAACATTCAGAATCTCTCGTGATAATCAGACCGAACCTGATTTAAAGAAGCCGTTTATACACAGTGTGTTCAGGTTCTAATGGCATCTGATCGAGCCAGCAGGGCCATTACCTCTTCCCTCTGTCTAAATTCAGGGAGTCTGATTTAATTTACGAATAAAAATTCAAATGCTGACCCAGGCCTTACTACAATGGCAAACAAAAATCATCAGCCATTTCTGCCTACAGTACCCACATTAATGGCAAATTAGATGCCAAAGCTTTCCATTTTCATTTTCTGTTTTCACCGACTGCAGCTCTAAGTTCTGTGATCTCAGAGCCCAGGAAAGCTTCGGTCCCATCCAGAACGACGCCGAGTCCGTAAATATTCACAACATGTCACCTCTGAAGCTCTCGAGTCCTTTAACACTCACACAAGTGCCACCAAAGCTTCATGGCACGAACCTGTCTTGTCAGAGCAAAGTAAGAGAAAATAAGCACGAGGCTCTCCACTATACTGACACACAACTTCTGGTTTTACATTTTTGCAAGCAAGCACCAGTAAAAACTCTGAAATCTCTTTAATCTGCAGAAAGCAAGAGCCAAGTGAATATTAAACTGTGTTAATCACCACGCTCAGGGGAACGGCGGTCGCAGAAACCTCCAGCTGCACTGATCACAGCGGCCAAGCTCCGCTCCCAACACCCCCTGCCCCTACTAAAAAGTAAGGTCACATCTGGAGGCTCCTGCAAAGGCTTCACCTCTCTTCAGAATCACAGGCAGCAGCCTGGCAAAGCCGCGCTCAACCTCACCGTAACCCCAAGCGCCGCGGCCTGGGGAAGGAGGCGGCTTAATAAAACAGACACGGTGTAAGTGTACCAGCACTGCTACATGTGCAGAGCTCTTCTGAGAGACGAGATGGAGCATGTTTGTGTTCCAAGACATAAAAACATGAAAACAAAATATATTGCAGAACTCAAAGACCTTATCTTTACTCAGCCTCTCTTTCTTTGCAATAATTCATTCAAGGAAGATCCGGGAATAATTTTTGATGTAAACTCTGCTACAAACATATATCACCATGCTGATAAAAATCACAGACAAAACTTGTGAAATACAGTGAGTTTCACTCCTTTATGCTACTAAAATAACTTTTTTTCCCTTTAAAATTCAAGAGATACTGATCTGCTGTTAAGACTTCCCCAAAATGTATCATTCTGAGGTGTCACACTAAAAGTCTCCTCTACTGGCCTAAAATAATGACTTCTGCAACATCGTTAGTGCCTCGGGAAGAGGTCAGCAGATTCCGGGAGGAACTGTTTTCTCCTCCTGGAACTATGCTGACACTTATTTAATAGGAAAAGTTTATGACAGCCACACAAAAATGAGTAAATAAACCCCCGCCGTATCACACAGGTTGTCTCTGTCACAACCCGCCAGCACCCTTTCCAAAGTGGCCACGATTCTTCATTGACCACACCGCCCTTCCGCCGCTGGGCTCCATCTGGGGTTGAAATTCTGTCCCTCATTTCTCCCTGGGTTGGGTTGGCAGGATTTGGGTACAAACACCATTGTGGTGTCCCTGGGGCCGAGGAGACCCATCCCCGCAGGACGCGGTTGTGGAGCTGTTTGGGGACAGCCGGGAGGTGTCGGACCATCACGCTGACGGGAGCGTGAGCCGGAAACCTCGGGATTCAAGGCTGGCTTGGCAGAGACAGCCCCATCCTGTGGGCACGGTTTTACCACCAGAAGCGTCTGCATTTGGAACGAAACGTGGCGGCAAACCCAGGGGTGTTAACGTCGTCTACAAGCGCAAAACTGCACCTTGAGCGACAAAGAAACCGTTCCACGTGCTGGACTGCCTGGTCGTTAGGGAAGTCTCTCCTTGGGCTCCTGCTTTCCCAAAGACCATGAGTCTTGTTGGAGAGACAGAAAAGGAAGACAATGACTGGACTAAGAACAGGGAAGTAGGAAGAGGTAATGAAGGGGAGAAGGATATAGTTCAGTAATTGCTGATAAAATCTGTGGCAGCCATAAATTTACTCTTCCAAGAGAATTCAACAGATCATTACCTCTGTAAATATGTATCACATAATTCTCCCTCTCTGTCACCTTGCAGATAAGTACTTAATACTTGGCATCCCTACCCCGCAAAATCACAAGTGGAATAAAATCTATCTGAGCTTTTGAACCACAGTTACTTCTTGACAGCAGATAGTTACGTTTTGGCACCGCCAGGAGACATTGCCCAATTCCCCCAGGGCCTGCCTTGTGCTTTTTAAAACAAATTGTCCAGATCGGGGCTCTCCTTACTCCACTGATACAACAAGCAAAAGCACCAGGCTTCTGCGGTTGCACTCCAAACCCAGCAAACTCCGACCCCTCGCTGACGACTGGCTGAACTGGGATGCCCAACACACCCTCCAGTGAGCTCCGCTGCTGCCCAGCACGGCCCCCCCGTCCCTGGAACCGAACTCTCCGAGCGCCACGTCGTAAGCCCAGTGACCCTGCGGCCCCGGCTGGCGCAAACTCAGACCGTGCTGATACTTACTGTGTGTCTGAAACCCTCAGCTGCACCCGAGAAATTGTTTAAAACCAGTCTGGATGTTAAGAGGTTCAAAAAAATTGTGATTCTGATGAAACATGTATTTGATGACCGTGCTGTGGGGCTAAGCCAGCGTTCGCTTGGTGTGACACCGTTAGCAGCTACTGATAGTGGGCAAGAAACACCCTTAATGATGCCATTAGCTCTAAGCAGCATTAGGACACTCATAAAACGTGTATCTGTTTATGTTGTGTTCTCTGTAACGGAATCGAGTCAGATTAAAAACATCCTATAATGAATAAAATACACCTATAGAAAGAAAAGGACACGGTAGCAATAATTCTTTGGACATCTAGCACATACAGGGAGGGAGAGAAGAGGGAACATAAATAAAAAGGACTACTCACTTGGGCTTTTTTCTTCCGCAAGGTCACAGGCACAGAGGAGTTCAGAATCGATTGAAATGGGTTTCTGCTTAATCCAAAACTTAGTGCTGGCCTTCTGATTAGTAACAGGGTCTATCTCTACCTTGTCTCCAGAAATACCTGAGATGAGAAAGAATAGAGAGCCACAATAGTGATCAGTTTAAGCGATTTCATATCAGCCGTTTGACACACTTTATAAATCTTAAATGGGATGAAAGTCTATTGCCCTTTTGGGCTTTCTGAAAGCACGGGAGCTTTTGAAACCAACAGCAAACGGTTATCAAACTGCATTGATAATCTGCATCTTATAAGCACACCAACAAGGAAGAAATACCACAGAAAAAATTCTTCGCCACACATACAGAGCTCCTCTGGAAGCAGCAGCTACATGAGCTGCAAGATTTATACAAAGATACTGCGACTTTTTCAATCACCACTCTGACATGGACTAGACACTACCAGGCCTGGTCCCTGCTCCGTCCCCTGCCCGGGGGAGGCGACACCCACTCGGCTACAGGAACGCTCTTTGTGCCGCCCAGACACCCAGAAACGAAGACATCCGGGCCCAGAGGTCCTGTGTGGTCTTACACCTCCGGCACGTTGAAGCCAGCCCTAACTAGGCCGCTCTGAAAGCAAGCTGAGCTCGGGCCGGGCCCCGCTTCCCCTCACGGGCTGCCCCGGCCCCGGTGTCCCGCGGCAGAGCCTCCGGGAAAGTTCCTCCATCTTTCCTCCATCGTCCCCACACGCTGCCCCGAGGCCGTGCAGGAGCAGGTGGGCCGGAGGGACGCCGCCGGGCAGGCCGAGGGCTAACGGGACTCTGCCGGGCAGGCCGAGGGCTAACGGCGCTGGCACCGGCGGGACACTCACGGTCACAGCGGCTCGATCGGGGCCCGGCGAGGCAGGGACTCTGCTACGCCGCGCTGGCGAACAGCAGCTCATTGTTCAGCGGCTGTTGACAGGACTGAGCTCACTTCCCAGTGTGCTTTGTACACCGGGAGGTGCGGAGCCTCAAAAATAATTACACTGCTTCAGTCCTGAGTTATCGGTGAAGCTCACGAGAAGGCGGCAAAAGCAAGTGATGCAGGAGAAAGGTATTTAAACATCCTTTAACCCTCGCATCTCTGGAAAAACAGCAGGGGTGACCTCTTCCCTCTTGAGGGTCTTGGCTGTGATACTTTCGAATCCATCACGCTTCACACTCATGTGAAGAAAACCTAAAGCACCTGACGATAAAACTTTTAAGAGATGTGACAGAATAAAAGCAATGTGCCACACACCCCCCAGCTCTCCCAAGCCCTCCAAAACTAACTCGCTATTTCTTAAAAGTCTGGTTGTAGCTGCAGAATTTGCAAAGCCGCGTTTGTTTGTGCTTTATTCACCTCTGAAATCAAAGCGCAGAGGCAGGAGGGGCAGAGGCGTCGGGCAGGCCGGTGCTGCAGCCCCCGCTTCACTCCAACCCTGGCCCCCACGGCAGGTCACCCCGGTGCCACCAGCCCCCTCCCCTGACCGTGGACCCCAAAGACCCCGAAGACCGGGCTTTGTCATCAGACACACGTCACCGCAGAGAGATCACACTTCGGTTAAGCATCGTATCGGGAGTCCAGCTAACGCGAGCACTGCTAGAACTGGGTAATGCGAGCAGGCTGATGCTGCATCCGGAGCCCATTTTGGTTCGTAATACGATTTCGGACAGATTATTTAAAATCAGCGTTGTTATTTCACTGTAATGGTTAATTATTCAAAATGACATTTTCTGTAGTTTAAGGAAAACATGCAAAGTTGATGGTACAAGTTCTTATATTTTCACTGAAAAAGTCAAGCCAAGTTCTAAAAATAAAGGTACAAATTCTTTGTGTGCGAGGGTTGTTCCCCAACCCTTCCCTCTAAAAGCATCACCCCCCCAAATATAATTTTAAAAATGTTCACTGTATGGTCCTGCAACTTCAGAATTCACAGTCAGTCAATATTGTTAATGCACCTTGTTAATTTGATAGGATTTGTCAGGTAACTCCACTGGAAAATTATATAAAACTGTTCCAGATGAACAGATGATAGTGACATGAATTAAAGTGATAGAACAATAGTGGAATATAAACCAGAAATGACACCCAAAGTGGCTGTTGATTTATTGCCATCCTGAGTTTGGTTCTGGGCTTCCATGTATATTAGTGCTACAAATCTGGGTCCATTTAGCAGAGAGATGCTCATACATACATCACCAGCTCCTGCTCCAAGCCAAGGTCACTCCCCATTGCATCAATCTTTTCAGCAGAGGCTACTTCACCAAGCATGGATTTTGTAACCATCTCAGATGTAACAGACTTCCTCCTCTTTCATCTTTTTTTTATCATGTAAAATACACTTTAACTTCTATTATTTTTATCTGCAAATTGTTGCTGTATACTTCATCCATTATTTCTGTATCTCGACATCGCTGGCTTGAGCTCACACACATCCAAAGAGCACATTGACAAAGAATGTTGTCTTTTTGTGTTATTGTTCTCACAATCTGTATGTGTTGAAACCTAAAATCAAAACAGTATTATGTATGTGGCTTCTGCAGTCTCTGTATTGCAGCACAAATTAGTCATACTCAAAAAACAAGTAAAAATGCTTCTTCTACTATTTTTTTTTAATTCATTCATTTTATCAAAAGAAATGCCATGGATGTATCAGTCCAGTAACACCGTTCTGTTCTTGCTTCCTTTGTTGGGGTCTGCAACTGACCCCCCCCTTTTCCGAAACACTTGCCAGCAGTAATTTTCCAAGACAATATGTTTCTTTTGGTTTCGCTAATGTGATACACAAGCAAATGTGTCTTATTCCTTCACAGCGGGATAGAACCTTTGTAGGAATGTTGAGCGTCCTGTCTGTGCACTACACTGTAAAGCCGGAACGTAAACCCCCAGACCTTAAACTGCCGCAGGTAAAGCTTTCCGCTGCAATAAAGCCATCACTCTCACGGTGGCCATCGCCCCCACGGCCGCTTTCTACGACAGAAGCACTACGGTGCGATGCACGAAGACTGAGCTTACTCCCAACAGTTTCGGTAAGCCTTGCCTCAGATTCAAGGACCGTGCCCCGAAACAGCTGAAACGTTTCAGAAAGCACCAGGTACAGGAAGAGCAGCGCACAAACACAGCTCACACCACTGCTGCCTGCTCCACGCAACGGAAACCAACTCCGGACCCGACCCTGCTCCAAGTGGGCGACCCTGAGTGTGGGAGCGAGGGGCAGGGCTGGAGAGGAGCCTCACTGGGCCTTTCCTCCACCGGCCCTGGGCCCTGCCACACACAAAGGGGTGTTCACACCCCCCGCGTGAACCCTGGGAAACCGCGACTCCCCCCGAACCAGGCGGACACTGTCAGTGCAGCACCGCTCCGTATCTCAGCTGGCCTGGCTGCCCAAGCGCTGCCGCACCGCGGCCGACAGCACCCCCGCGGTCAGTAAGGAGCCACGGGATGGATTTGGGCTCTCAGCCTCCTCTCGAAAACCCCTCGCTTTGCTCTGGCAGCTACATAAAACTGACGACGTACAAACGCTACAGAGAACGGTCTTTGCAACTGGCCATCACTGAACTGACAGCGAATGGCTCCCGACCACGGCTACTGATGAGAGATGAAAAAAACCCCAGAGACAGTTTTTTACATTTCAGATTGTATGGAGCAGTCTGCCGCTCGCAGAAGATGAACGCGTTAATGCTCAGCAGCCCTAATCCAAACAGCACCTCAATGCTTATTTCACCAGCATTGCTCTTTTAATATCTTTAAAAAATTCAGGAGAAACCGCAGCGACATACGCTTATTTTTACTTTCTGTAAAGGTTCTGGTGCTGTACGTTTACCCAAACTGCGAATACCTCACCGGAGTTTTATTTCTAAAAAAATAATTCAATTATAAAAATCACATTGTCAGTGTACTGCCATCAAAAATATATACAAGTTCACAGACTGTTATAAAAGGGAAATTTTATAGTCCTTACACTACCGGACAGGGTCAGCTCTTTCACTGCTACACAAGTTGAGCCATTTGTTTCATTTAACAGCTATTCTCCCTTAACCATTTATCTTTAGTGATCTGTCATGACCTTTTCAAGCTCTCATTTCTGACACTTTCCAGATACAGTGAGTCAAACTTCACTGGAAGCAAACTATCACACCCAGATAGTTTGCTCAAAAGCAGAAAACAAGCCCAGTGCTGTCCTGCTTCAGCACCAGCATATAAATCCTTCCTTAACAAGACAGTTCAAAATAAACTAAGAAAGCGCCTTCTGTAAAAATTTTAGAGATGTATTTCTATACGTGCTTAAGGAGGGAAGAGTGGAGAGGCTGCAGTGACAATAATACAGGAACTCGTATACTTTAAATTTAACAATTCTACTGAATTCTACAGAATAAATGTATTTTGTAAACATTACGGCACTTAATATTTTACTGCCGAATCATTTCTTTATGGAAGGTATTTGCAGAAATGTCACAGGTCACCTACCAATGCATCGTTAATCAAATTTTCACAATTTAAACACAAAGATAAAAAGCCATTCAATCATTTTAAAACAGTAATGGGGCTTTTATAATTCAAGATTCTGTCATCCCTTGGCCTTCAGGTTTTCAAAAGCATTCAGAAAGCTAATAAGGACAATATAAAACCTTTAGAGAATGCTCGTTTTGTTTTGTTCCACCTCAAATTTCTACTTGGTCGTTAAAATCTTTCAGTCTCAGAAAAGGAAAACCTAATCATTCCTAATTTTGCATAGCCTCATTTAAAAATAACAAAAGAGTTGGCAAGAAGCTTTCCATTAGGAAGCCTAGATTAAAAAAAAAAGAGATGAGGTCACTAAATAATGGCCTTCTTTCAGAAGAAACATGTGCTAGCTGATTGTGGATAATAAAAATACTGAAATATTTTCAACTCCAAGCAATTTTTTTTAACCGCTGAAATGCTAGCAACGCTTTCAAGTGTCGTGCTCCACGATAAAACGGACCAACGTGATACCGACTGCTTTAAAAACGCCTGAGATGGACAGTCGGCTGCCGGAGATGGCCGAAGGTTCGAACCGTTCCATTTTCCGACGCGTTACGGTACGGATTGATTTACCTAACTGAACATCAGTGGTGAATCGAAGCCTATGGATCATGCTGACTTTGAAGGACTTGTAATGGTGGCTACTGAGCATGTCCTGAACGGTGGCTATATCGATCTGAGGGTCCTCCTCCGAGACCTCTTCTCCTCTTGAACCTGCAAAACAAGCCAACAATAATGAACGAGAGGTTTAAAACACAGCCTGTGATTCAGCGAGCACTAAGCAGGCGGCGTTGGGCGGAAGGACAAAACGCTCAACTCCACGTCTCTGGGAGAAGGAGACTCTCTGCCCAAGGCCAAACCCCGACTTCACGAAGGACGTTACGACAGGCACTGGTGTCCCACACCAAGAGCAGCGCAACGTCCCCGGGGGCTGCGCTGGGGGGCCCCCAGGAGCCCACAGCCTGTCACCCCCCGGGAAGGGCCCGGCCAGGGCAGCGCTTTGCGCCCTGATCTCAGCCCCGCGCTTTATTTACTGATTAGTATTCTCATTACTACTGCAGGTACTGGCTTTATAAAAGGTAACATCTCATTAAGCCAAAATGCCAATTACTGAAAAAATATAACGCACTTTAAAGATTTTTTTACATTTTATGACGTTGGATTAACACCAATTTAAACATTACTATAATGCGATATATAATTTTGCGCAGAGTAATTTCTATGCCAGCTGCTAATAAAGCATCTCAGCTCTAAATGATCGTTCAGATGCTGTTAGATAAAGTGGTATAAATATGTTTGAAAACTGATTTAGCTTCCTACAGAAGATACTGAAGAATGACACGTTTTGTTTAATACCCCAGCTAATGTAGTCCTAAAAGCTGAATCAACTGCCAGTTCAGAGTACTAAATTTGCTGCAGGAGATTAATGAAAACTTTATATTTTGTTGAAATTTTAATAATGGGAAGATGAGATGATGGAATTTTAGTACAGGTCTTAAAAGATCCAGCAACGCAGGCTAAGAACTTGTCGGATCTCTCCGTATTCATTTTGTTGGAGACTTGCCCAGCCGGAGCAGGCTCAGCGCTCCCGCTTCCCGCACCCACCTCCCCGGGGGACACGCGCTCCCGTCCCGCTCGGGGACCTCAGCTCGCAGGGAGGCTGCGACGAGTTTCCACGTTTGGGCCCCGACGACGAGGGGACGGTTTGCCGGGAAAGGCAAAACCCTGGCGCTCGCCTCAGACACACGGTGCTGACGCAGAAGCAGGCTCCCTTTTAACAGGGTAGTTCAGGGTTGCAGAGGGACAGGCCGCCGGCTTCGGCAGGGGACACTGTCAGGGTGGTGGCCGTACGCAGGACAGACGGGGGCGGGAGAGAAGAAAAACCCCACCTGAGCACGGAGTGTTTTCCTGCCGGCTGAAAGCCTTCCCTTTTTAATCTGTTAATTCCGTAACAAATGTCACCGATTATTATAAATATCTCTCGTGTCTGTATCAAAGGAAGGTCAGCGTTTGCTGTTAAATGAGTCAAAATACACGTTGAGAGCATAAAGCGGGAGATTCGCGTTTCCCAGACGTCAGCCACGTAAGCGCCCCCCTGCCCTCAGGAGAGCGGGCGAGGGCGATGCCCACCCCTCCCTGCTCCCGGCACCACCAGGGACCGTTCCTCGGGGAAGGGGGACGGCGAAGGGTTAAGCTGCAAATTGGGCTGCGCCATTCGACTTGAAAGAATTCCAAAAATCAAATGAAACAGTCTACATGTGAATTTATGCAGAGCCATCTTAACATTGCAGCCACTCCATGCTCCAGAATGACAAGATAAATTGTAATGGCTCCTTCAGAGACATTACAATGTATTTTGTCAAAGACCCCTGTGTTAATGTCTCTATACTACGGATTATCATAATGTATCATGTCAAACCCTCATGCTGCAGTACTTCAAAGATACACTGAGATATGTCAAACTTTTTGGTGCACTTAAAAGCGTCTTGAAACACCGTGGCACGGCGGTGATTGGAAGACGGGCGGGAGGACGGCGACGGCACCGCTGCCCCGCAGCCGAGAGCGAACTGGGACCCTCCTGCCCTGACGGAAACCAGGGCGGTGCCCGTTGGGCCCCGGGAGTGGCCGGGCCCGTCCCCGCAGCACGTGGCCACAGGCCGTGCCGGGACACGGGCCGCGGTGCAGCCTTGTAGCCCGTCCCACTGCTCCCTGTCGAGCACAAGGACCATCGACCGCCGGCTCCACCGCTCAGCCCAACGTGTTGTGGCTCTGCTGTGTAAGGCCGCAGGATCCAGGCCTTGGTGACGACTTTACCAGTGAGGAGGAGATAAGGATCGGTAGGAGGGGAGTATCCTGCCCCAGAAGGCACCAGAGGCTGGATGGTTGCCCAAGAAGCAAGAAGTCAGCAAAAATCTGTGGAAACGGGGGGAGAAGTAAACATGGTGGTGGGAGATCGCAACCACCGACTCAATTCAAGACCAAAAAAACTTGCCCCCCCCCACACCTGCAAGGAGCACATGTGGTAATTTACCCAGCAAACGTGACTAACCAAGAGCAAGTGGAACGGTAATTACAGACCGAGGAGTGTAAACTCCAGACAGATTTTTACCGATCATGTAATGGGATAAATAGGCCGTAGCTCCTCGTGCAGCGGGCTAGCTTTTTGATTACCGCCTAGCACCCATCCCCGCACGGCCACGGACTAACCAGCTCCCTTGGCTCTGGGTGCGAGGTCGGCTTTCGCAGGCGGGCAGCGAGCGCCGTCTGTGACAGGGGTGTGCTGCTCCCTGCCTGCTCCCCACGCGCGGGTGACGGGGCCCCCACCTCTGGGCGGCGGGCAGCACCCGCGCAGCAGGGCTCCGAGCGCCGCCGTGTCTGCCAACAAGTGTTAGCACCAGCAAACTGAATCCGCAGTGATAACGAATTCAGAAACACAAAGAACAGCAACATACTACCCTCGTCCCCACATCCCCTGAAAAATGTTCTTAAAATCCCTCACGCAGCTCGCCCGGTGCTCTGCGGGTGCCGCTGCCTTGGCGCTCCCCCTCTGGCCTCCAACCGCCCCGAATCACCGGTGACGCGGGGACACCGTGGGTCGGCTTTACACGGCTGTTATGGAGCTGAGTCTTCTTGGATTTCACACTCCCAAATTAAAAGTATTAGAAAGAAAATTAGCAGCCTGCCAGATCATATCCAGGGAAAAAAAAAAAAAAACAACCAACCTGTCACTGTTACTAAAATTGTGAGCACCTTGTCAGTGCCTGAGCTGCAGGAGCAGTGCTGCGGCAGCCGGAGCAGCTGAACGGTGGGATTTTGCTCTGGAAGCCTTTCAGATCCTCTGCGGATCGGTAACCTCTGCCGACTTTGTTTTATGAAGCTTTGTGAATGGATTCAGGTTTACAGAATTTCTACAGTTGCTGCTCTTGGGAGAGCAGCCAGGAACTCCACCATCAAAACAGATCATCTGTCTAAAGATGGCAAGACACGGGGACCCCTGAGGGTGCATTGGATAATAGCAGTAATATCAGTAACAACAGAGAGAAATGCCCTGCAGGGAAAAACCTGACTGCAGAACTTGGCATATTGCTCTTACCCCGCAGCTCAGCGAGGATGTCTGCGAGACTGCCGGCGTTCAGCAGCGGAGGGAAGAGCCATCTCCACCAGCTGATTGGGGGAAAAATCATAAAAATATTTTCCACATGCAAGCAGCTGTGAATAAACCTGTCAAATATTTACAGGCCTGTCAGGGTATTTGTAATGGAGATCACAGTGTGGCTTTTGAATGTAAAAGCTTCTGCTTGGGAAGACAATCAAGTAAAGTGGATGCTCCAGGTCTATTATTTAGCCCAAGAGCCGACCCAGCAATATGGCTCTGCTGGCAGAGACACCTCGTCCCGGGAGGAGCAGATCCCTCTTCCAGAAACAAACTCCTTCGCATAACGACACAGAGCCGCAACGCAACGACATGAAAGGGCCTCTGTGTTTTTTCCTTACGTCTACCTAATTAAGATTTACTTTGTGAAAGAAAAAGTGAAAAAATCTGGAGTCAGGTGTGGGATAAACAAGGCACAAGATAAGAACCTGCATGAAGTGCAAAGCACAGCCACGAGGGAGGCGTTTCCCTTAGCCTGGGACAGGGGTTTAATTACTGAAGACACTGGGTAGGAAAATCCATGAGCAGAGCAGGAAAAGAACAGCCGAGAGGAATCACAGAATGATCTGGGTTGGAAAAGACCCTGAAGCTCCTCCAGTCCAACCAGTTACCCAACACTGACCGTTCCCAACTCCCCCAGACCCCTCAGCGCTCGCTCAGCCCGACTCTTCAACCCCTCCAGGGATCCCGGGGACTCCCCCCTGCCCCGGACAGCCCATTCCAACGCCTGAAAGCTCGCACTTCCACCCTGCCATCCCTGGGCCAGGGACGGAGCGATGTGTGGCACAGCTAAACGGGGAATCTCTTGATTTTCCGGCACCCTGGCAGTGCCCCACCGGGTGCCAGATCTCCCACCCAGCCCCGGAGCCCGGCCGCGGGGACAGACAGGGCTGGTGCTCACCACGACGTGGGGCACAGGCCGGCGGCCGCGGCTTCGGCCCCACTGGGAAACTCCAGAGCAACCTCCCGCC